TAGACCACCGAGCCATCTCACCAGCCCCCGTCAATTAATTGTCTGAGAGATAAAGATGTTTTTCTGTTGCTGTTGTCGTTGTTTTGGCGGAACCAGGGATTGAACTCAGGCCCTTGTGTTTGCCAGGGAAGCACTTATTCCACTGAGCCATCTCCCCGGCCCGCTTGAGAGACTTTTCTGACTAGAATTTATTTGCTAAAATGCGAGGCAGGCAAAGGGATCACAGGCTGCAGAGGCCCCTGGGGATTCTGATGCGCTGAGCAGAGCAGGTTTCCTGGGATGGACACTCAGTGAGGGGCCAGCTACTGCCTGCCTAGGCAAGTCACGCGGAGAAAAGCTCAGTGGTCACACTGCCAACCCCGTCCCCTGGTGGAGAGGTCTCCACTCTGTGAACTCCAGGAAGGCTAAGGTCGGTGGAGGACCCGTCTCCACAGTACTCAGACTCCTGTCAAGAAGCAAGGCTTGACTCCTTCTGTCACTCGGCGACAGGAGGTCTTCCCAGCGAGGCCACGACATGCCTTTGACTAGACGCCCAATGTTAGCGGAGGCGGTTTATAAAAAGGCCCCATGATGCTAAGAGTTGGATGGATGTGTGTTCCAGCAGTTCGGGTAAGAGCCTCTTTCTTCCTACAAGCTTTTCAACACACACACACACACACACACACACACACACACACACACCCCAAACTAAAACTCAAGGGGCCGGGGAGATGGCTCAGTGGAATAAGCGCTTCCCTGGCAAGCGTAAGGGCTCAGGAGGCTGAGGCAGAAGAACTGCTGTGAGTGTGAGGCCAGCCTGCACTACATAGTGAGTACCCAATTAAACAAAACCCCTTTGGGGCTGGGGAGGTGGCTCAGTAGAATAAGCGCTTGCCTGGCAAGCGCAAAGATCTGAGTTCAATCCCCGGTTCCGGAAAAAAAAAAACTCACTTTTTGTCTTGCTTGTTGTTTTTGAGACAGGGTCTCACTCTGTACCCAGGCTGGCCTTGGACTTGAGGCAGTCATCCTGCCCTGCCTCCCAAGTGCTGGGACAGCAGGCAGGAGCCTCGATGCCTGCCCAGTGAGGATTCTTTTTTTTTTTTTGTTCGGAACTGGGGATTGAACTCAGGCCCTTGCACTTGTCAGGGAAGCGCTTATTCTATTGAGCCATCTCCCCGGCTCCCAGTGAGGATTCTTAAAATAAATCCCAGAAACACTCAGCAGGGAAAATCCCATGTTTCCAGGAGAGCTGGCACTTGGAATAGCAAATTCTGAATAGGGCCAGCCAAAAAGCTCAGCAGATTAAAGCACCTGCAAGCAGGAGCAGAGGCTGCGTGTTCAATCCCTGGGCCCACTATGCTGGCCCCGCCCCCAGGGCGACTGAGACTGGGCTGGGCCTTGTGGTGTGCGCCTGTAAGGCCAGCATTTAGGAGGCTGTAAACAGGAGAATCACTACAAGTTTGATCTAGTAGTGAGACCCTGAACACCCTGTAGACCCGTCCCTAAAATACAGAAAAAAAGAAAACAACAAAAAAACCCACAAGACACTTCAGGGCCCTGACAAGGGGCACCTGGTGGGGCGGGAGGACATGGGTGCCAGTGCAGAATGGAAACACAGCTGGACCAGCAGCCACTTTGCAGAGTGTAAAAGTGTGCCCAAGCTGCCGGGCACAATCAGATCTCAGCTTGCAAAAAGAAACACCACAAAGGGGGGATTTCTTCAATATTCCAGCTGCGGAAGTGTTTCCCTGCAGGTCCAGTTTCAAAAGCTTTTAAGGCTTGAAGGAAAAACAAACTCCGTGCCATCCAAGAATCACAGAAGACACCGAAGGCTGAGTTTTTCAGGCTGTAGTTTTTGTTTTCCCATTAGCGAGGGCAGGGTGTGCCCTCCTCTCGGATTCTAAGAAGGTGACAGCTCTGGGAGTGCTGGGTCACGCTCCACGGTTTTGCTGTGAGATGCGCTCTGGCCCCCAGAGTTTGACTGAGGGAACAGCTCACACTTTTGCAGGGTGAGATGAGGTACTCAGGCCTCCTTGTGGAAGGAGAAAGACACAAGCAAGAAACTGTGCAGCCACTTGCACATGCCGAAAACCCCAAGCCCAAGGACAAAGTCACGGAAATGCTGCCCAGCAGGCTGCGACGCGCAGCAAGCGAGGGTACGCCAGCTCCCAGGAGATGCTCTTGCGGTAACTTCGGCATTTTGTCCAAAACGCCTATGCATCCTCTGGAAGCTGCACATTGTAACCAATTTTTGAACAGTGGAAGATACGTCTTTTTAAGCCACCTGAACAGTGGCCATCAAATCATTATAGATCTTGTCTCTAAAACCAGTCCTGGCTGCTGTATATTATACAAGTGCCAACCTTTTTCTTTTTCCTCTGGTACTAGGACTCAAACCTAGGGATGCTCTACCATCAAACTGCAGCCCCAGGTGCTTTTATGTTTTGAGACAGGGTCTCCTTAAGTTGCTCAGGTGAGACAATCCTCCTGCTTCAGCCTCCCTAATACTCTACTAAAGCGATGCCCACTTGGGCCTCTGAAGGAAAGGATTCGATATGGTGGGTCTTATAAATACACATGGGGGGGCGGGGAGATGGCTTAGCAGAATAAGCGCTTCCTTGGCAAACACGAGGGCCAGAGTTCAATCCCCAGTTGGGGGGGGGGAACAACAACCACCATATGGGGAGCCAGGGAGATGGCTCAGTAGAATAAGCGCTTGCCTGACAAGTGCAAGGGCGTGAGTTCAATCCTAGTCCTGACAAAATAAATAAATAAAAAAAAATCTAAAAGTATGGTTTGGAGATACATCCATTTACCTAAAACGTCTCAAGCTCCTTCTGCACTATGGTAGCGTGGTCGGCCCCCCACATTCTCTTCAGCTGACGGGCATTTGGGCTGTTTCCAAGGTTTCAGTTATCAACTGTGTTGCTCTAAGCCTGCATGTGTACACGTCCAGGGGCGCCTCCAATCTGGGGTGTGAGGCTTCAGACACACACACGGAGCACAGGGAACAGGAAGTAGGAAGAACACGGGAGAACAGGAAGGGGCATGAGGGGTGGGGAAGGAAGGGAAAACAGGGAAAAAACATGGAAACAGCTTTTGTAAAAGAGGAGAAAAAAGGTCTGATGGGAGGAGAGGGGAACGGAAAGAAAAATGAGGCTACATATGCACAGCTACAAATGCCCGAGGTGGATCTGATCCCTACGGACGGCAAACACGCACTGACTAAGAAAGGTAAGATCCAGCACCAGCACAGCCGCCAGGCTGTCACTCAGGCCCACAGGCCCGTCAGTTTCCCCTCTCCTTTCCTATGGAGGAGGTGTCTCGACCACTCTTGTCCTTTCGGTGAGGGGTTAGTGCGTGGAGGTCCCTGTGTGGCTTGTCCCACATCCGATTCATTCATTAACAATATGGTACGGGGAGGCATTCATTCAGGGCTAGGGGCAGCTGCCACAGTTACCTAAACGTGTGGGTTTTGTTTATTTAGGTTTTCTTTCACTTGCCTTTCATTTTTGTACCGGGGATTGAACTCGGGACCTTGTGATTGCCAGGCAGACACTTATGCATCTGAGCTATATCCCCAGCAACTCTTCTCTTTTATTTATTTATTTATTTATTTATTTATTTATTTATTTGCAGAACAGACCCTTGCGCTTGCTAGGGAAGCGCTTATTCTACTGAGATATCTCTCTGGCCCAACCCTTCTCTTTTAATTTTAAGCTCCACCTGTTTCTAATTGAATTAGGACATGAACAACCACAGAGTGTAGACATTATGACAACCTTTGGGGCATCTTCTAATCAGTTACAATTAGTTAAAGCCTCTTCATCAAGTTTAACAATAAAGCCAAGCAAGTGTAATCCCAGCACTTTGGGAGGTTGAGGCAGGAACATAATAAATCCAAACCCAGTTTGGGCTATTTAGCAAGACCTTGTCACAAAATAAAAATAAAGGGTTAAGAATGTAGCTCAGGGGGCCGGGAGATGGCTCAGTGGAATTAGCGCTTCCCTGGCAAGCGCAAGGACCTGAGTTCAATTGCAGGTTCCGCAAAAAAAAAAAAAGAATGTAGCTCAGTGTGAAGGTCCTGAGTTCAATTGCCAGCATCAAAATAAGCCAACAAATCTCCCAGCAGGACCTTGGCACCTGAGGCAGGAGGAACGCTGCAAGTTCAGGGCCAACTTGGGCTACAGCCCACACCAGCCCGCGCTGCACAGCACAACCCCACCTCAGAAAAAAACGATAAATCAATGACAACCAAAACAACCCTGTCCAATATTCTTCCCAGCTATGCTGCACTTTGGTGTTGGATCCAAAAAATTCATTCCAAATGTTAAACAAAACTATGCCAGTGAAAACTGACAGGTTCTGGGCCTAGTATAAACTGCTAAGTCATGATGGTGGCCGTCCACCATGGCCGAGGGCCTTAAAACAACAGCCTCTCTCCCCAAAGACGGCTTCCTCCTCCTTCCCCACTCCAGCCCTGGATTCAATTTCCTCTCACCTTTCCCCCCACAGGAGAGACCCCAACCAGCTCCTTACATGCCTTACCTGTAACTGAAACTCCCCTCAAACCCCACCCCAGGACTTCTGCTGTGTCCCAGGCCAGAGGATCTGCCCCACCTGCCCTCCATGCTCTGTGTGTCTTTGCAGTTAACAAAGGCTTCTTCTATCTTTCCTATCTTTTTACTGCACAGCCTAAAAACATATCAAAACCAGTTTCTTGGGGGCCGGGGAAATGGCTCAGTGGAATAAACGCTTCCCTGGCAAGTGCAAGGGCCTGAGTTCAATCCCCGGTTCCGCAAAAAAAAAAAAAAAAAAAAAAAGCCGAAACCAGTTTCTTTTTAGGATAGGTTTTCCTAAAGCCTAGTAGCACCATTCAAAAGCAGATTCCCAGGCGCAGAGGACGGCGTGATTTTCCCTTCAATGCCAGGTCACACTAATGTCACACCATCTCCACCACCCATGACAAAGGACTCCAGCAACCAACTCGGAGTGCCCAGCGGGCGCCGCGCGAGGCTCACCTTCTGCGTGTTCGGCTTGATGCACCGGATGAAGAAAGGGTTGGAGGAGCTCAGCGTCGCCATGAGACAATGCAGCGAGTCCTGCGGGGACAGAGCGGTCACTCGCTCACGCTTGGCACTGCCTGGCGCCCACCCGCGGGCGCTCAGAGCTAAGAGCCACAGGCAAAGTGGCACACGTCGGGATGAGCACACAGGCTGGCACTGCCAACGTCATGCTACTAGGAGGCAAGGTGAAAGAAGGGACACCTCCCTGGAATGGCAGCCATCTCATAATGCGCAGCGTTCACTTATGACTTCCTTTGAGATAGTGGCATTTGACAAAAAGCCACTGTCCCAAACTAAAAACAAAACAACCCCAAGATATTTCAGAAATGCTAAGGCAGGTGTGGAGGGGCAGGCCTGGGATCCCTCTGGGAGGCTGAGGCAGGAGTAGTGTAAGCTCAAGCCCCATCTGGGCAATTGAGAAGTGTAGCAAGGCCCTGTGTAAAATAAAAGAGGGCCAAGGACACAGCTCGCTGTGAAGGCTCTGGGCAAATAGGCAGAAAGCGAGAAGTTCAGACAGACTTCACATTGATCCGTCCACGAGTATTTCAGTATCCACTATTAAGGGTGAAATAATATTACGCAACCCCAATATCACAGCACCTTAAAAGTCATACTAGGAATTCCTTATGTTAATTGATTGGTAAGAAGCTGGGGGCAGCGTTGCCTACTTGTAACCCCAGCTACTGGGGAGGCTGAGGCAGGAGGATTACAAAGTTGAGGCTAACCTGGACAATTTAGGGAGACCCTGTGTGGAAGTAAAAAGATAAAAAAGGGCCGAGGAGATAGCTCAGTAGAAAAAGCGCTTGCCAGCAAGGCCCTGAGTTCAAGCCCCGGTACCGTACAGATAAATACATAAAATAAAAAGATGGGTGTCTTGTTTGAAAAGAAAATGAGGGGGTGCTGGGGAGATGGCTCAGTAGGATAAGCGCTTCCCTGGCAAGCGCAAGGGCCTGAGATCAATCCCCGGTTCCACAAAAAAAGAAAATCGGGTAAGTAAGAATCTGTGAGAATCGAGGTGGAGGGTGGAGGAATGCACCCAAGTGTTGGAGTCTTGGTTCCTGTTCAGTGTTTTATGAATTATTACCTTGTCTACCCCTTGCCCACCCCCCCCCTTTTTTTTTTGGCGGAACCGGGGATTGAACTCACAGATCCTTGAGTTTGCCAGTCAAGTGCTTATCCTACTGAGCCATCTCCCCGGCCCCTCACCCTCCTTTTTTTTAAAGAACAAAAATAAACTCATGTAGACTACAAAAATAAATAAAAATAAAATAAAATAAAATAAAATAAAAAGATAAAAAAGCCTGGAATGCAGCTTAGTCATAAAATGCACGGGAGTTTGATTTCTAGGAGAGAGATAGAGACAGAGAGGGAGGGGGGAGGGAGAGAGAGAGAGAATTTAACACAAATTACCATTAAAATGGGCACTGATCTCTTATTTCATATTTAAAATCTGCTTCACTGGAGTTCCTAACTCACCCCCTGGCACTCGGCTCCTGCAGTCCCAGTGCCGCCCACTGTGGCCTTGTGACAGGGCTCCAGGGGGCAGCCCATGCGGTGCCAGCCTGGGCCGCTCCATCAGCCCGAGGGCCCCAGAACCGGCCACCCAGCCATTCCTCCTCTGGCCCGAAGGCCACAGGGCCTTCAGACAGCTGTCTCCACAGGAGGGCACGAGCTCCTCTTTCTTCCTTCCCTTGCTGATGAGAAGGGCCCTCTGTTGCCCAGGCTGGCCTCAGACTCACCGGGCTCTTCCTGCCTCAGTCTCCTGAGTGCTGGGATTACATGTGTACTGCTGCGCTCAGTGCAGCTGATCTTACTTCAACAGGAGTAAAATCCCTAGCCACTGTCCCCAGCTGTGATACTACACCGCAGCCGGGAAGGCCGCCAGCAACTCTACTCCATCCACACGACCATCTAGCTAGCTGCAAGGAAGAGCAACTGGAGACAGCAGAGCAGCCTGGGAGAAGCTCTGTTATTTCAAACAGAATTAAATTAGTTATTCTTTATTTAACCGAAAAAGGTCAGCAAGTTTTCATCTGCCTTGGAAATGTGTAAGTACACGTATGTAGTCCGTACGTGCGTGTGTGCTAAGATCGAACCTAGGCCCTTGTACATGCTAGGCATCGGCTGTACTATTAAGCGACATCACTAAGCCCAAAATGTATATTTATAAAAACACTGTATTTGTTTTTGTTTGTTTAGTGGTTCTGGGGATGGCATCAGACACACCCTACAACCTCAGTACCTCTGCAGCCCCCTCCCCTGCTTCCCCCACTCCTTTAGTTGTTTGAGACAGCATATAACCCAGGGTAGCCTCAAACTTGTGGTGATCCTGCTGCTTCGGCCTCCCAAGTAGCTGGGATCCCAGGTATACATCACTGCATCCAACAATCACTATTTTATTTTATTATTATTATTTTTTAAAATTTTTGGCGGAACCAAGGATTGAACTCAGGCCCTTGCGCTTGCCAGGGAAGCACTTATTCTACTGAGCCGTCTCCCCAGCCCCTAGCAATCACTATTTCAAAAGCATAACATGAAAGAAAACACAAATTTAAATTCTCCTAGACCTTGTGCACACACAACTCCTTTTTCCTTTTGTTAAGACCACTGTGAGGGGCTGGGGAGATGGCTCAGTGGAGTAAGCGCTTCCCTGGCAAGCGCAAGTGCTTGAGTTCAATCCCTGGTTCCGCAAAAAAAACAAAGGCCACGTGGGAGGCTGCGCCGGCCGCAGACCGACCTTGAACTGAGAGCTGACTGTGGGTCGCCGGTGCTTGCTGCCACACTTGAGGGTGTCCTGGCTGCTGCGGCTGCAGACATGCTCGAAGAGGTCATAGATGAAGTCGAACCTGCAGGGACAGCGGGCTGTGAGACCAACCACAGGCACCCCAGACGAATTTGGGCACATTTTTGTTGCAGCAGCTGGGGGTGGGGTGGGGGGTGGAGGTGGGGTCCCGTGAGGACCAGGATTGCATCCAAGACTGCAAAACCACTTCCACCCAAGGGAAGGACAGCGGCCCAGGAAGCTTCCCAAGGGGCCTCCCAGGTAGCCCAAACCCTGGCTCTGTCTTCTGGAGACTCAACTGCCAGCACCCTGCGGGTCCTCTAACCCATGATTGTCAAGTCCCTTTAGTTACGCAGTGATGTGAGCCAGGCCTAGTGGCACATGCCCATCTTCTACCGTTCTGGGGGCTGAGTTAGGAGGATTGCACTTTGGGTCCAGCCTGGGCAACTTCGTGAAATCCTGTCTCAAAATAAAAAATCCAGCCAGGAGTGGTGGCCCAGCCCTATAACCCCAGCACTTGAAAGGCTGAGGCAGGAGGATTGCCATGAGTTTGAGGCTAGCCGGGACTACGAAGTGAGCCTCTCAATCTATTAAAGGTATAAATAAATAAATAAATAAATGGTAGAGGAGGTAGCAGACTTGAGTCCAACCCCAAATTCTATTAAAAATAAACTTATTTATTTATTTATTTTTGGCGGAACCAGGGATTGAACTCAGACCCTTGTGCTTGCCAGGGAAGCGCTTATTCTACTGAGCCACCTCCTCGGCCCCTAAACATTTAAATAAATACTTGTGCAGAACATAAACAGAACCGAGTGTATATGGAGGGTAGGCCAGGTGTGGAGTGTGGGTATGGAGAGTGGGAGTGGAGAGCAGGTGTGGGTATGAAGTGCAGGTGTGGGCGGCATGGAGCGTGGGTATGGGTGTGGGCGCTCAGTGTGGGTGTGGAGTGTATGTGGAGGGTAGGCCAGGTGTGGAGTGTGGGCATGGGTGTGGAGTGTGGGTGGAGAGCAGGTGTGGGTATGAAGTGCAGGTGTGGGCGGCATGGAGCGTGGGTATGGGTGTGGGCGCTCAGTGTGGGTGTGGAGTGTATGTGGAGGGTAGGCCAGGTGTGGAGTGTGGGTATGGGTGTGGGCATGGGTGTGGAGTGTGGGTGGAGAGCAGGTGTGGGTGTGGAGAGGAGCTGTAGGTGTGGGTGTGCAGAGCGGGCAGATCTGCTCTGCTGGGTGCAGGCTCATGGTCCCTGACAGCTGGGTGTGGGAATAGTGCTGGTGGGGCACAGCAGGGCAGGCATTCCAACCCTGGTTCCTCTGCCTCCCACCTGTCCCTTGGTCTTGGCAGCCCTTTTGGAGCCGGGGTAGGGGTGTTTCTGGGTTCCAGTCATGGGCAAACACTCAGAGCCCAGTGAGGCAGTGTTGTAGGCAACTGAGTTAGATAGAAATATTCTAGGCAGTCAGACAGGACCAGGCCTTCATTTTTTTTGGTGGGGGGGATTGAACTCTGGCCCTCGCGCTTGCCAGGGAAGTGCTTATTCCACTGAGCCATCTCCCCGGCCCCAGGGCCAGGCCTTCAAAGAGACAACATAGAAGATAAAATGACTCTGCAACTTCGGAAGAGACAGACACTCCCCGCTGAGGGCCAGACCTCAAGACAAAAGAGTAAACAAATGCAGCCACATACTTCCCTAGGGTTGGCCCCAGGGATTGATATTCTAAAAGAGTATCAATCACCTTGAAAGAGCCCAAATGACTCACTAACCCAACCCCCAACAGGAAGAGACCCTGTCATGTATTCACGCCCGCCTGCTATGCCATTTGATTCTGATTTAATTAATTTTACCTGAGCAATGGTGCTTGTAATCTCATTGGTTGACCATAGTGTTGTCCCACCTCATGCCCACCTAAGGGAGTTCCCATGTTCTCCACCACCTTAGACCCGCCTCACTGCATGTTGTTTTGTTTTGTTTTGCGGAACCAGAGATTGAACTTGAGCCCTTGCACTTGCCAGGGAAGCACTTATTCTGAGCCATCTCCCCAGGCCCTTACCGCATGGTTTTACTCTATAAAAGTCCCTGGAAGAGACAGCTTCCTGGGGACCACCCACTCAGGGCCCCTCTTCTGTCCTTTCAGACAGGAGCTTTCTTTCCTCCAATAAATGTATTCTGCTTATAACCTCCGTTTGTTCCTAAAATTCACTCTTCGATTTTAGAGAACACAAACTCATCCCAGGTACCTTTCAGGCTGGAAGATTACTGTTCCCCTCTGTCATCTGGAGGTCATCCACCGAGATCACTTGTTCCCTGCGTCAGCAGCAGCCAGCAGCCTTCGCCTCCATCACAAAAGTGCCTGATACTGTCCACCAAACCCTGCCCATCTCAATCCTGCCAGTCCCAGGCCTGCACATCTTTAGCTTTGGACAAGTAAGAAACTGCTTCTGTTTAAAACCAATACAGTGCTTGTCTTTAAATGTACCCCTCTTAAGCTAACAACTCCCCACTGCTCAGATAACATGCTCTGATGTTGTTAAAAAATCGTTTAGTGTTTTTTTTATGGGTCTGCCAACTTGTGTACAAATGGAAATAGCTGATAATGTTCCCACAGCGGGCTCCCCACGTAGCAGAAGTGAAGCAACTTTAAAGATCAAAAGCTTCAGATTGGGGGGCCTGGCTCTAGCTCAGTCCTTTAAGTGGCTGCTTCCGCAAAGCTGTCAGCCTCAGGTTGCTGGAGTTCGAACCTCACAACTCTCCCGCTGGCCAAAAGTGCCCTGAAGGCATTCGAGGAACCAAAAAAAAAAAAAAAAAAGCTTCAGATTCTAAGGGCCGCTGCAGACACATCAGCCTGGCTCCGCGTGGCCAATTCACAGCTTCCCAGAGGGTGGGATGTGCGCTGGCATCCCGGTCTCCAGCACACTGCAGCTTCTGACCGTTGTGCAGCTTCCTTCCTCACACGCGGAAGCCCTTGCTACACATCTGTGCATGGTATCAAAACTTGTCAGCCAAGGGCTTTTCCTTCCCTTACACAAATCTTTGTTAAGAATAGGAACCGGGCTGGCGAGATGGCTCAGTGGTCTAAAGCACCTACTTAGAACAAGCTAAACTAAGCAAAGTGCAGGGACCGCGGTTCAATCCCCCAGCACCACATACCAGCCAGCCCCGCCCCCTGGTGGGCTGAGCTGGCCACACACACACTAAAATAAATAAATAAATTTAAAAAAAAAGAATAGGAACCTTCCTGGTTTAATGCACACAACAGCCAAACTCACCTTTAAAAGTTCCTGCCTGCCTTCCTTAACCTTCTGCCCTAGCGGTGTGAACCGTCAACTCACGAACGAAGGGGTAATACGTCTCTGGTTTTGGCTACTTTAATGCTTGTTTAATCTGCTTGACATCCCTTATGCTAACGGGACGTTCCCGTCCCAGAAAATGAAGCCAGGAATAGCACACAGCTCAGCTTGCGGTGAAGGAAGCAGGCTGGAAATGGTTAAGAGTTCAGATTTCTGAGCCAGGCGACCGTGACCACCGGTCGTCCACCCGCGCCACGGAGCACAGCCTCAACCCTCACTCCGTGGCAGCTGCTGCTGCTATCATTAATTTATTGCTCAAGTCATTTCATCGAGGCAACGACGTGTGGAGAGGAAGCTATGAGGGCGAGTGCTTCGGTGCTAGCGACTGCTTTATGCTCAGGAGTGGGGTGCATTTGCACAGACTTCAATGCTTGCTGAAGACAGCAGACCAACGTACCGGCTTTCTCTTAGCAAGTTGAGAAGGTCATCTCGGAAGGTATCTCTGTTCTTCTCCAAAATGCCTCGGACATCATACTGTACCTAATTTTAAAAATAAAAGTGAGAAGCCCGCACGTGCAATCCTAGCACTCGGGAGGCTGAGGCAGGGGGATCCCTGAGAGTTGGCAGGCAGCCTGGGCTACGAAGCGAGCCCCTGTCTCAAAGGCCTATTTTGTCCAAACACTAAGGGGATGAATATCAAGGAGATCACGTGAAGAAGTTACCTCTCCGGCATAGTGTTTCACTCCAAAATTGTTGACTGCAACTCTGGGCTTCACATAAAAGTGGTTATTCTAATAAAAAGAAAATACAAGCGCCTTATTTCCTGCACTCATTCCCTCGGCCTTTAGAGAAAAGCACACACAGTGGACAGCGAAAGCAGCCGCGGGACTTGTCTGTCAGAGCGCAACTGCGGCAGGGCCGCCCTCCTCTGGACGGCGGGCGTGCTCACTCGCTCACCTCTGTGCTCCGAGGATCCAGGCACACCTCTGGCCCCGGTCCCCAGATCTAACCTTATTCAATTTAGATCGAATAAGGGCAGAAGAATCTGGCTTATTTCAGCTTAGGGCTACATGGGGAAGAAAGCTCTGAGAGAAAAGATTAAACACAGGAGGTAGCGCGGGCTAACGGGACCCAGCGTCTTGGGGGACAACAGAGGGCTGCTGGGTGCGGTGGTGAGGGTCGTACCGAGTGCTGGTGGTGCAACTTCTCCAGCAAGGTGCTGTCTGTGGCTTGCGGAAAGTGGCTCTCTTCATTGATGAGGGCCAGGAGGCCAAGTTTCTGGAGAAAGGGGGGAGGAAGGTGAAGGGAGTCCTGTCAAGTCCTTCAGACAACTGAGCGCTCCTCTGCTTTCCATTCCCTAGCCCTCGGCCAGGACGAGGAAAAGCACGGCAGGTTTTGGACAGAAAAAATCAGAATGGTACGCCCTAAGGAAATCCATTAAATTTTCTAGGAGTCTTTTCTAAATCATGAAACTGGCTGTAATGCAGTAGCTAAAACTTGCACAACCGGCCACGGGCTCCCCTCCCCCACGGCTGCAAAGGCTTTGTGAGGAGGTGGGCTAGCAGGGCAGCCAACTCACACTGTGGGCCCTAAATATCAGCCGTTAAGGAGACAACAGGCCCCGAGCCGCCAAGTATTCAAATTCAACTCTGCACATTTACATCTCTGTTTCCAAACGGCCCATTGTGTTCTAAGCATTCACATCTTTGATGTGCAAATTCTCACAAGTTCCCCTGTTCCCATTAACTGACTCAGCCCAGCTGGACACCCCTGGGAGACAGAGCAGAAGGAAGCACCTCGGGTGCCCCTCACCTTCTCGATCAAGTCCAGGCACTCCCCATTGTCTATCCAGTCAATGTCCTCCCACACCAGGCCTTCTCTGCAGAGTGAAAAGGGGCGAGTGAATGAAGACAGACCTTTCTACTACCTTACGCAGCAGCTGAGTTTTTAAAAAGTTAGACTGGAAACCTCTGAGTGCCTACCTGCTGTATTCCAGTTGTTCTAAAGAAAATATATGCTTGTTGAAGTATTCCTGAAGCTTCTCATTTGCATAGTTGATATTGAATTGCTCAAAGCGGTTAACCTGAGGTAGAAAACAGTCAACATGTGTTTTGTGCCTGCAACATGTAAAAGGGAAGAAAGGGCAAACAAAAAGTCTGCAGAGAGAAACACCGATGGTTACTTCAAAAGATTTCATTCAGGGGCTGGTGAGATGGCTCAGTGGTCTAAAGCACCTACTTAGAACAAGCTTAGCAAAGCACAGGGACTGCGGTTCAATCCCCCAGCACCACATGCCAGCCAGCCCCGCCCCCTGGTGGGCTGAGCTGGCCACACACACACACACACACACACACACACACACACAAATAAATAAAAAAATTAAAAAAAAATATTTCATTCATTCATTTGATTTTTTGAGATAGACTCTCCCTGTGTAGTCCAGGCTGGCCTCGAACCTGTAGGTAGCATCCCGTTGCCTCAGCCTCCGGAGTGCTGTGATTACAGGTGCATGTGTGCCCCACACTCAGCTTCAAAAGACTGATTCTACTGTAGGCAGCTGAATTAGACAGAAACATTCTAGGCAGTCAGACAGGGCCAGGCCCTCAAGGAGACAAGATGGAAGACAAGGTGACATTGCAACTTGGAAGAGACAGACGCTCCCATGTGGGCCAGACCTCAAAGACCAAGACAAAAAGAGGAAGCACAGCTACATACTTCCCTAGGGATGGGCATCAGGGATTGATATTCTAGAGGTATCAATCACCTTGAAAGAGCCCAAGTGAATCTCTAGCCCAACCCACAACAGGAAGAGACCCTGTCCCTATTCTTGCCTGCTTGCTAAGTGACTCGCTTTCCCATTTTTTTGGTGGAACCGGGGTTTTGAACTCAGGCTCTTGCGCTTGCCAGGCAAGCGCTTCTACTGAGCCATTTCCCAGGGCCCTAGCTTCCCCATTTGGTCCTGGATTTAATCAATTTTACCTGAGCAGTGTGGTGCTTGTCATCTCATTGGCTGACCATAGTTTTGTCCCAGCTCATGCCCACCTATGCGAGTTCCCTTGTCTTCTCCACCACCTTAGACCCACCTCACCACATGGTTTTCCTCCATAAAAGTCCCTGGAAGAGACAGCTTTCCAGGGACTACCCGCTTGGGGACCCCCTCCCCTCTTGTCCCTCTCTCAGACAGGAGCTTTCTTTCTCTCAATAAATATATTCTGCTTATAACCTCCACTTGTTCCTAAAACTCATTCCTTGGTTTTAGAGAACACAAACTCGTCCCAGGTACCTTTTATTTTGGGAGATCAGTCTTTCTCCCTGTGTTATTTGAAGGTTTCCCTGTATCAATTCTATACCAGCCCCTAAACCCAGAATAAAACAGGCAAGTCCCACGTGCTAGAAGCCTACCTCGAAGTTTTCAAATCCAAAGATGTCAAGGATGCCAACAGATCTGAAGTCATCTCTGCCCTTGATCCTGCTGTTGATCTTCTTGATGACCCACTCGAAGCAGCGTGAGTAAAGTGCCATGGCCAAAGAGTCTCTGCTGTCCACTGCCTGTGCGACAGGAGGGGACATAGTCCTGGTAACCAGGGCCACCAGCAGACACCTCTGACCCTGCCCCACTCCTCAGACGGACATGTTATCTGGGAAAGGCCAGCGGCCCTTGATGAAGTCAGGCAACACAGAGATATCTGAAGACATTGTGAACTCACCAACATTCTACTATGATTCACAACTCCTTTAAGTATCAGGATTCAAAATATAATTGTATGCTCTGCTATATGAAAGATTCTGAATCTGTGTATGTCTGTATGTCGTGTGACTGAAAACTAGTCAGGGCTGCAGAGATAGCGTGGTGGCACGGGCGCCTGCCTGGCAAATACAAGGTCCTGAGTTCAATCCTCAGTACCAAGAAAAGAAAAACTATGGTCAATATTAGCTTTTAAAAAATTTATCACACTAGGGGGCTGGGGAGATGGCTCAGTAGAATAAGTGCTTCCCTGGCAAGCGCAAGGGTCTGAGTTTAATCCCCAGTTCCTCAAAAAAAAAAAAAAAAATCACACTAATACGTGCTTGCCTGGAAGGTCCTGAGTGCAATCCCTGGTACCACAAAAAATAAAATAAAATAAAAAATAAAATAAATCACAGTAAAAGGCATTGTCATGAATCTCCTTCAAAACTTCTGCCCTTGCTTGGAACACTTATTCTACGCTGTGCCACTTCCTTACCTGTTCTGGAGTCCTCGTTCATGGGTATCTTTTTTTTTTTTTTTTTTTTGGTGGAACCAGGGATCGAACTCAGGCCCTTGTGCTTGCAGGGGAAGTGCTTATTCCACTGAGCCACCTCCCCAGCCCTTTCATGGGTATCTTGAGTTGTGCTATGCAGTCAAGCAGCCTGAAGTGGCTCAAAATGTTTATTTCCACGGTCTCAAATGACTTTGGGGAAGAGCAGCAGCCACACAGTGCCACTCACAGGGTGCAAGGCGGATGAGGTACGCCGTGGTGTTCCACGAACTGGCCTCTCTGTTGGATGGCATATGGCAGCTACCCTCACCATATTTCTGATCTAAACTTGTAAAGCCACTTATGAAAGGGGACTTCCGGAACTGCTTCAGAAAGAGGGAAAGAGTGTGCTCAAAGGGAGTCGGGTCACGGCTATGTCCTTTGCTGTGACATATTGTTAGTTTTTTGTTTGTTTATTTGCGGAAGCGGGGATTGAACTCAGGCCCTTTGCGTGCCAGGGAAGCACTTATTCTACTGAGCTATCTCCCTGGCCCCATGACACACTGTTAGGACTTCAACAGTCAGTGTCTATTTGGGTCACACCCCATGATTCACCTTGTCCTACAGAGAAGGAAACCAAGGCACGCTGGATACACTTCCCAAGAACAAGCGGAAGGGTCAAGACTCAAGGTGAGGTGGTGAGCATGGTGCCTGTCCTTGTAAACAGGCACCAACTCTGCCTCGGATGGCTCTGCCCCTTCCGCAAACTCGGTGCCCACAGTCAGCCCCTGCCAGAGCCGCTGTAACTGTCTGGCACAGCTTCCTCTGCGAGCCCAGCGCAGCTCGGCCAGCCCAGCACCTTTCTAGACTGGCAGAGCGCACAGTGCGTACCTGCTGGACGCTGAGCGGCGTGAGGATCTCTTCTCCCCTGAGGAACATGGATCTTTGGGTCAAAGCGTCCGTGAGCTGCGCCGGGTCCAGCCCAAGTAACTCTGCAGACTGGCCCAGAGCTGGGGACAGAGGAAGGCATGGTGAGCCAGAGCCCAGGATCAGCCACTGGGCAGCGCTGCGGGGGGACACAGCACGCCTGACCCGTCTCAGTGGGTCCTTGGTCAGGAGCACGGGAAAACCCTGCATTTGGCAGTGACAGGGCACTGGAAGGGGGCCCTGGGATGCCACCAGAGATGCGAGACTAGGTTCACAGAGAGTACTACAGGAACTTGCCAAAAGCTAAGACTATGTCTATGCTTACACTTTTTTTTTTTTTTTTTTTTTGCATTATCAGGGATTGAACTCAGGGCCTTGTGCTTGTCAGGCAGGCACTTATTCTACTGAGCCATCTTCCCGGCTACAGTTTTGTTTTGGAAAAGTCTTTTAAGTCCTCCTTTGTGCTGGGATTATAGGTGCATGCTGCCATATCTTGCTTATTATGATTACTTTTATTTTTTTAATGTATTTGGTACAGGGTCCACTAGGAAGCTCGGATTTGTAGTGACCCTCCTGTTTGCAGCTTCCCCAGTGCTGGGATGCGGGGCGTGCGGCACCATGCCCGGTCTTGGTGGCTGGCTCAGTGCGCCTGGGGGCGGGGCCAGTACAGCATGTGGTACCGGGGATCGAACCCCAGTCCCTGTGCTTGCTAAGCAGGTGCTTAGTCTGCTGAGCTATCTCGCAGTTCTTATGGTTATTATTATTTTTTTTTGGCAGAACCGGGTTTGAACTCAGGCCCTTGCACTTGCCAGGCAAGTACTTATTCTACTAAGCTATCTCCCCGGCCCCCTTATGGTTACTTTCCTTTTTTAAAAAAAATATTTATTTATTTATTTATTTATTTATGTGTGTGTGTGGCCAACTCAGCCCACCAGGGGGCGGGGCTGGCTGGCATGTGGCGCTGGGGATCGAACCACAGTCCCTGTGCTTTGCTAAGCTTGTTCTAAATAGGCGCTTTAGACCACTGAGCCATCTCACCAGCCCCATGGTTACTTTTCAATGAGTGAATAAATATTTCTAACTGCTTCAGTTTCAAATTCTATTCAAGAAAGCAAAAGTGAAGAGTAGGGAGAAACTGGCTATGTAGAGCAAGCTCAGGCAGAGTGAAGGAAGGGAGAGAGCGGACATAGTACCTGCTGTGGCCGGGAAGCACAGGAGGGCCATTTTGGAAGGTCAGATCATGTTTAGTTCTAGATTCTAGTGCAGGGCTGGGCCTGGTCATGCATGCCTGGATTACAGCAGCACTGGGAGGCAGAGGCCCGAGGATGGCCATGGAGATAGCTCGTGGCATAAGCGCCTGCCCGGCAAGGGCAAGGTCCTGAGTTCGATCCCCAATACTGCATGCTGTGCTGGCCCTGAAACCAGGATTGGCATGCCTATAATCCCAGCACTAGGGAGGCTGAGACAGGAGCATCACTGAGTCTGAACTTCCTAGCAAGATCCTATATCAAAAATATAATGAAAAAAAAAAAAAAAAAAAGGACATAACCAAGCTAAACAAAAGCTCTTTGGGGTTCGAAGATGCTTGAGACTATGGAAAGGTGCTGTGTGGATCCGTGATCTGCGAATCACTGAACAGAGACTGAGTTGCTCTCCACCCACGTGGGCGCTATGTTCTTGCGCCACAGCTTCTGTGGCCACGGAAGCCTCTTGCTGCTTTCCAGAGAGCTTTCAGAGTCCGTCTGTGAAATACCTCGGTGTGGGCAGTGGTGACAGATGCAGTTGTGTGTTGTCTGCTCATGTAATCTCCACGTCAACCTCTGTGTTCTGGCCTGAGAAGCCACTAACAGCACAGGGATGAAACTGCAGGCAGCAGGGCCAGCGAGACAGCTCAGCGGGCTGGGCGCCTACTTAGGCACACGCAGCGGCAGGGTTTGATCCCGTCCCGCATGCCACACTGGCCCCACCCCAGGGCTCACTGAGCCACTGACCCAGTTAGCACCTGTGATCCCAGTGCCGGGGAGACTGAAAACTGCAGAGTGAGACCCTGTACCAAATACATTTAAAAGAAAAAAAGAAAGCAAATACAGGCAGCAGCAAGGGTTAGGGACCCGGTGTTCTGCAAAACTCATCATCTTAACCAGCACGCTGGCTGCCGTGGAGCGGGACAGCTCCGTTGCACAGGTTTCCTGCAAGGTATCCGCTGCTTGTTTTCCGGGCATTTTCATTGTTTGAAGAAGAATGAAAACACAGCCCCACCCCAAGGCAGCAAAGACTGCCTTCACTGGGGCCCTTGTGTAACTGACTTCTCCGTCAGGGGCATGGCTGCTCGGGAGCTGGGTGCAGCTGTGTGGGAGGCTATATGTGTGTGTGTGGGAGACCCTGGGGGTGCAGGAGGGAGGGAGGGAAAGAGAGGACAGAAAAAAAGGGAGAGAAAGACAGGAAGGATGACGGGCAGAAAGAAAGAAAGAAATCCTGCAGCACTCCACCCCAGCTCTGGGCGCGCGCAGGCAGTCGAGTCGAGGGCCTGCCTTCGTTTCCACGGCAGCCGCCTCACCTGTCTCGAAGGAGACCTGCGCGCCCCCTGCCGTGATGAACTCCACGTTGCCCAGATGCAGGATGCCGGCCAGCAGCCGCAGAACCTCCCGGACCTCGTCCGTGCTGAACTGCATGACCTCCAGGGCCGTCTGGAAGGAAAGGCAGGTGCGGAAAGCTAAGCAGTCTTTCAACACGGACGAAAACGGGGAGAGAAAGGGCCACGGCCCAATCTCACTCCCAGGAGAGGTTCCGGAGGCACGAAGCGCGAGACAGGCGCACGACCAGGGGCTCCAGGAGGAACACGACAGCAGACGAAAGTGCTAGGGGAGGGCGGGCTCCCCGCCCCCAGGCAGGCAGGCCCTGCAGGCGTGCCCTGGAAGCAGCCGCGTGCGACGACCCGCCCGGAGGGAGCCGCCGCAGTCACGCGCGTGGTCTTTTCCGTGATTTGGCGCCTTCTGCTTGCCAGTGTCGTGGAACTAAACGCCTCTTTTCTACAAAGACCAGGATAACGACCACGGTTGTCTTAATCTAAAAACTGAGGGTGACATCTGGGGTGAAGGGTGTGTGACACTTCCAGGCTCCTCCAGCATAAACGGGGACACCTTCTCTCGCTGTCTAATGCAACCGGAAGTCGCGTGGGCAGAATAAAACGCTGTATCTGCAACTCAGTGAGGGTCTGTCCTTCTATTTGTAAGTCACTGACGGCCCACCTGCGTAGCTCCAGAGCCGTCGCCCTCAACACATCTCTTTTCTAGTTTCTCCGAAGGACCCTGAAGGTCTCCGTCTCCGGATACAGCAGGCGATACCACGCTGCGCACACAGGGCTGCGCCCACCGCGCCTGTCTAGGCGAGCCACCCTTGGAGGCGGGATGCAGACACAAGCAAGCGTCTGCATCCCGGGGGCCGGCGGCGGGCACCCAGTCTAGGACGGCACTCGCCGGGAGGGGCAGGAGGGGAGGAATAGTTACACGTTCTCGGGTTCTAGTTCTGGGTCTTGGGGGAGTGATTTTTTTTTCCCCCTGATATGCTACAGTGCAGCCACAGCAATACATCTACAAAACATGGGCTCAGCTTGTGACCTAGGAGCAAAGGTGCTGACATGGTGCGCAGGGAACAAGCGGGCTTATGCCACAGCATGGGGTGGTGCTGGGCTAGCTAACTATGGCAACATTTACAAGGAACAAACGTAAGGAGACAGAAAGCAACGGTGCCTGAGCACAGAATGGCATTGGTTTGGTTCTTTTTCACACTTCAACAGGACTGTTAGCAAAATAAGCATCTAAAAAACTCACACCACATGTCTGAATCATATCGAAGATTCATTCCTTCTCTGCTGTGAGTTAGGAGCTAAGTTTTGTGAAGGGAAAGGCTCTTAAAAGGTATACATGAAGCCGAGGGCAGAACTGCTCACATCCTGAATGAGAACGATCTACACAGACAACCTGTACGCTCACGGTGACCACAGGGGCCCGGGATGGACTCGGAGGTGACGGGAACTGCAAAAAGGGACAACTGGGGGCCTACGGGGAAATGGCAAGAAAGCCAGAGAGAAAAGGTGCGCAGCAGAGGGGATGTGATTAAAGTTCTCCCGAAGGAGTCTGGAGCAACAAAAATCAAGTTGGCGCTTCTCCCAGGAGGAAGTGCTAGGCTGGGGCTGGGGCTCAGGAGACAGCGCTTGTTCTGCACCCCAAAAGCAAACAGGAGGAAGCGCAGCTCCAGGGGGCAATGCTGATCTTCCTGGAAAAGAAGCCTGAGTGGATTAGGGTACATCTGAGGTCACATCTATGAAAAGAACACGAGTTTCTAAAGGATAAAGACTTGCTGAACCAGGACGTACAGACACTGGTTACTGGTGCCATAAATCAGCACAGCCCTCCTGGAAGCCACACGATACTGTGCAGGCAGCTCTCGGCATCATCTTACCACCTTGTCATCTGGGGAGACAACATGATGGTTCAGAGGCTAAAGGACTTTTTCTCGATAGCGTGACCAAGATTCAAGCTCAGGCTCAACTACTTCAGAATCTAGAGTGAATCTTTGTTAGCCACCCAATTCTCTTCCTTTCTAGAGCCATAAAAAGAAACTTCCTGTGTAATCTAATAATTGCAACATGGGAATTGAGGTCCAAGGAAAATGTCAGCAGAAAAGAAAGGCATAATAAGATCTTCACTGCAAGGGCCAGACAGACAACTCAGTGGGCTAAGTGCCTGCTTAGTCAAGCTCAGGGATGGGGGTTCGAACTGCGGCACCAGCTGCACCAAGCCTAAGGCACCTAGACCAGGTGTGGTGGCGCACACCTATAATCCCAGCTCTGGGGAGGCTGAAACCAGGAGGATCACTATGAGTCTTAGCTGCCCTGTCTGGCAAGTGCAAGGGCCTCAGTTCAATCCCTGTTCTGCCCCCGCCCCTCCCCCCCAGAAAAGATCTCACTGCAGAGCACATTGAGAAAACCTCAACATTTTCACAGAAGAACAGAACTGTAACTACTCTACACTTAGATGAATAGAGTAACCCAACTTTTAATGATATTCTATAGATTTTATTTTTTATTTTTATTTTTTTAAATTTTATTTATTTATTTATTTGTGTGTGGCCAGCTCAGCCCACCAGGGGGCGGGGCTGGCTGGCATGTGGTGCTGGGGGATTGAACCGCGGTCCGTGTGCTTTGCTCAAGCTTGTGCTGAGTGGGTGCTTTAGACCACTGAGCCATCTCAAAAGCCCCCCCCCTTTTTTTAAATTTTATTTATATTCTATAGATTTTAAAGGAAATGATAAATATTACACAGAAATATTTACATTCATTATAGCTTAATATAATTAATACCAAACAAACCCAAAAAACCAAAAATATCAAAACCACTTTTTATTGGTAGTGCTCACCCTTGAGACCAGGCCTGGTAATGCTAGCCGGCACTTTACCACTGAGGTGTACCATCAGCACCCAGCAGTGTATTTTCTGTACCTATAATTACTTTTTAAAATCTAGCTGTGTAGAAAATTTACATGATTGAAAGTAGGGCTGCTTTTTTTTGGGGGGGGTTGCTTGTTAACAGTATTTAGGTTCATAAATATTATGATCTGTTATGTCTTTTATGTTTAGACATTTTTTAAAAGCAAAAATTGAGGGTTTTTTTTTTTTTTTTTTGCGGAACTGGGGTTTGAATTCAGGCCCTTGCCCTTGCTAGGCAAGCACTTATTCTACTGAGCCATCTTCCCAGCCCCGCGAGATTTGTTTTTATTATTTGTTTAAGACAGGATCTCGCTGTATAGTTCAGGCTGAACTTGAACTCACTGTGTAGGGTCCAGGCTGGCTTTGAACTTGCAGTGATCCTCCTGCCTCAGCCTAATGGGGACTGGGATTGCAGATATGATTCACCATGCTCAGTTTCAAAACCTGAGACTCTTATTCTTTTTTCTTTTTCTTTTGTGGTACTGGGGATTGAACTCAGGATCTTGTGCTTGCCAGGCAAGTACCTATTCTACTGAACTATCTCCGCAGCTCCAAAAAACTGACTTTTTTTTTTTTCCAGCAGAACTGGGGATTGAACTCAGGCCTTTGAGCTTGCCAGGGAAGCGCTTATGCTACTGAGCTATCTCCCCAGCCCCCAAACTGAGACTCTTAATAAGCAAAACATATTTTTAAAAGCCACTGTCTAATTCAATGAACTACCAATACTGAAAGAAAAAAAAAAAAGAATAGTGACGCATTCAGTGTGTGTAAGTGGAGAAAGCTAGAGATGGGAGAGTAACCTTGCTATATTTCTCTGACCTGAAATGCTAGAATATACTAGAGTGAATAAAATGGACCATCTGAGTCTGAGGGCCAGGTGTTGGGGTCACAGAATAACTCGTGGGGTACTGGCTTGTCCTTACCTTGATCATGTTATGGATACATGGTTTATAAATTTAGCATTCATTAACATGTAAGCTTTTTTTTAAATATAAGCTTTATTTTTTATTTTATTTTAATTTTTGGAGACAGGGTCTCACTGTGCAGTGCAGGCTGGCCTTGAGCTCACAATGACCCTCCTGCCTCAGCCTCCTGAGTGCTGGGATTACAGGCATGTGCCACCACATGGGGATCCCAAAAGCTTTAGATAGAAGAATTTTATTACATGCACCTTATGACAGAATGAACTTAACAGCCAAAATTGATAGACCATCAAAGCAGGACTGCCCCTCCATGGGTACAAAAGAAACTGATATAAAAAATAAGAAATGTTTATCATTTTTAAAAGTCTAAATACTTAGGAAAATATTCAAATTTACTCTAAAAGCAAAAAAATACTGGTTAAGAAATACAGAATAGGGGCTGGGGAGATAGCTCAGTAGAATAAGTGCTTGCCTGGCAAGTGCAAGGGCCTGAGTTCAATCCCCAGTTCTGGCAAAAAAAAAAAAAAAAAAAAAAAAAAAAAAAAAAAAAAAAAATTTTTTTAAGAGGGGGTTTTTTTTTTTTTTTTTTTTGCAGAACCGGGGATTGAACTCAGGCCCTTGCGCTTGCCAAGGAAGCGTTTAGTCCACTGAGCCATCTCCCCAGCCCCCCAACACCTTTTATTTACTCATTTAGCACAGGGTCTCACTACACAGCTCACTCATAATGACCCTCTCACCCCAGCCTCCCCAGCGCTGGGATTACAGGCATGCGCCCCCATCCCAGGTTTCAGCGGTCAGCCCTAAAGTCCCAGGGCTGGAATGGCATGTGGTACTGGGAATCGAACCCAGGCCCCTCCACTTGCCAGGCAAGTGCTTAGACAGCCGGCCTATCTCCCCAGTCCCCATAAAACTTTTTCAAGCCAGCTAGGTGTGACTGTTCAGCAGTTCAAGGCAGGAGGATTGCAACTGAATGCAATTCTGACTCCAAATAAAAAATAAAAAGGGCTGTGGATATAGGTCGTGGTATAGCACCCTGGGGTTTCATCCCCAGTAGTAGCAACATGGAAAGGAAAAGAAACTAAGCTAGTCTTACAAAGACCACAGAAAAAAAAATCTTTACTAAGTCATGTACTTGGAATTTATATAACATTAAGAAGAAACTAGGGGCCGGGGAGATGGCTCAGTAGAATAAGCGCTTGCCTGGCAAGCCCAAGTATCTGAGTTCAATCCCCGGTTCCACCAAAAAAAAAAAAAAAAGAAGAAAGAAATTCCTTAT